TCTGAATCTATGTTTTACTGCCGTCTTGTGATTCTGCCCTGTTTGTATAAGCTTTCAGCTGCAGCTTGGAGCTTGTTTTATTTTTAGAGAAAATGCTTTTTAGTCAGGTTCTCTGTCTCAGCAACTTGGGAGGCTGAGGTAGAAAAATCACAAGTTTAAGACCAGCCCCAGTAATTTAATGAGGCCCTGTTTTAAAAATTAAAAATTTAAAGGTCTGGGATGTAGCACCCTGGTTTCAATCCCCAATACCCACCCTGCCCCAAATGTTTGTACACATAAAGTTTCTTCTGTTAAACATTTTTTTTTAAAACATTGTTAATTTTAACCTCAATTTTAGGAATATTAGTTAAGAAAAAGTGAGCATGTAGTGGCTTGGGAGGCTGAGGTAGGAAGATCTTCAGTTCAAAAGCCAGCCTCAGCAAAAGCAGGATGCTAAGCAAATCAATGAGACCCTGTCTCTGAGTAAAATATAAAATAGGGCTGGGGATGTGGCTCATTGGCCTAGTGTCCCTGAGTTTAATCCCTGTACCAAACCCCGCCCCCCCCCCACCAAGAAAAAAAAAAGTGAGCAAATAAAGGTTATGCTGTGATAATTTCAATAAAACACATGTGAGCATGTGGTTTATAATAAGATAAAACCATAAGGCTGTGTTTAGGAAATGGTAGAATCATAGGAGTGATTATTTATGACATGATAGAAAATAGGTTATCTTCTTTTAGAAGACTGAGAAGAAATCAGACAGTATTTTTAATTTATTAAGAAAATTTTTTTTGGTACTAGGAATTGAATGCAACAGCACTTAATTAGTAAGATACATCCCTAACCACCCCCACCTACTTTTTTTGTTGTTGTATTTTTTATTTAGAGATAGGATCTCACTGAATTGCTTAGGGCTTTGCTAAGACGCTGAGGCTGACTTTGTACTCATGATCCTCCTGCCTCAGCCTCCTGAGCACTGGGATTATAGGTGTGTGCCGCCACACCTGGAATTGATTAAGATTTGCCATTTTTTTTCTTTCTATTGTAAACTTTCCAAGTTAGAAAAAAGGGAAAAAAATTAAGAGGGAAAAATTAAAGCTGCTTTATGCATGAGGTGATCTTATGCATTTTATCTTTCTTAAAATTTTTATTTCTTTGACTGGGGACTGAACCATGGGGTGCTTTACCACAGAGCTACATTCCCAGTCATTTTTTTATGTCTTATTTCAAGACCAGATCTTGCTGAGTTGCTGAGTATCTCACTGAGTTGCCTAGGCCAGCCTTGAACTTGGGATTCTCTTGCCTCAGACTCCGGAGTTCCTAGGATTACAGGTGTGCACACCATGCATGGTTTACTGCATCTTTTTTTTCAATGACTAAAAACAGTAGCTTCAATTCAGACATTAAAAAGGAATTTGTTTTCTGACTTCAAAAAACAAAAGGAGGTAAAAAGAATATGTATGTAAGCTTAAACTTCACAGTTAAGTTGGTGATATTAAGAGGCATATACCTAGATTTGCTATCTCAAATTTTTAATTGTGTATACTACTCATAACATAAAATTTAGCATTTTGAAATGTAAATAATTCAGTAGTGTTATGTATATTCACATGGTTGTACAGTGTATGAAAAAGTTTTCCAGAACTTTTTCATGCCCATTAAGCAACCCTCCATTTCTTCACCCAGTCATTGGCAGTCTGGTTTAAAACTACTCTAGATAACTCATATGAGTGAAGTCAGTGTTTATCTTTTTGCAACTGGCTTATTTCACTTAGTGTAATGTACCCAAAGTTCATCCATATGGTAGCATAGTCAGAATTTCCTTATTTTCTAAACTGAATAATACTTTGTTGCAAGTACATACACTTTATTTATCCATTCATCCATTGATGAAATTTGGGATGCTTCTACCTTTTGCTTTCACCTATTGTGAATAATGCTGCTATGTGTATGCATAAATATCTTTTCAAGACCCTGCTTTTTTTTTTTTTTTTGGTGGTGGTATTGGGAATCAAACCTATGGCCTTGTAGTACTTGCTAGTAGTACTGCATCCTCAGCCCTTTTGATTTTTAATTTGAGACAGGGTCTCGCTAAGTTTCCCAGTGGGCCTCCAACTTGTAATTCTCCTGCCTCAGCCTCTCAAGTTGCTGGGATTACAGGCCTGTACCATCATGCCTGGCTTGCTTTCAAACTCTTTTGGATATGTATATCCAGAGGGGGAAATGCTGAGTCATTTGGAAATTCTGTTTAGTTTTTTGAGGTGCCTCCGTATTGTTTTCCATAACAGCTGGACCATTTTTCACTTCTAAAGTACAATTTTAGCTTCTCCCTATCCTTGCCAATATTTGTCACTTCTTTCTTTTTGTTTTTATATTAGCCATTTTAGTAGATGTGAGGTGGTATCTTATTGTGGTTTTGCTTTTTTATTTCTCTAGTGATAATGATTATGATGTTAACTGTCTTTTCATATGCTTGCTAACCAGCTGTTTTTTTAAATATCTTTGCATATAACCATAAATACCTTACATTTTACCCAGATCTTTTACCAATATCTATCTATCTATCTATCTATCTCTGTCTCTCTGTCTCTCTCTCTCTCTCTCTCTCTCTCTCGGTAATTCTGGGGATTGAACTCAGGGGCACTCGACTAATTTAAATCAGCCCTATTTTTGTATTTCATTTAGAGACAGGGTCTCACTGAGTTGCTTAGTGCCTCTCTTTTGCTGAGGCTGGCTTTGAACTTGCAATCTTCCTGTCTTAGCCTCCAGTGCATCAGTTTACCAATCTCTTTGTTAGTGGTTCTCCTACCACTTGACATAGTCAGTCTCTTAAAATTTACATATTCTCGTTCTTACCCTGTTTGCATATCTTGCAGTTGATTATTTTGACCATCTAGATCTTTAGAAACTCCTTAGGAATGGTTTTATTTATTTATTTGTTCAACTTATACTCAATACATTGTTTACATGAAACTATGTAGGCAATTAGAAACTATTCCCTAGCTTGTACTAAGGAGTATGTGTTCATGAACATACACATTCTGAGTGGGTAACATTGAAAATTTAGTCATATTATGCTATTTACTAAATTTAAACATGTACTTACGTGTGTCAGAATTCAGAAAATTTAAAATAGTAAGCAAGGAATATCTCTTTTTTATATACTACAGCTTTTTCCCTTTCATGGTGGCAACCAAATGATGAGTTTTACATGATTATATAGTATGAGATAAGTATTTTGTGGCATTTTTTATTTTAACTGACTTTTTTTCCTTTTAGTTGATTATGGAAGATTCCCACAAGAGTAACACTTCAGAGACTACACCTCAACCTGGTTCAGCAGTTCAGGGAGCTCATATTTCTCATATTGCTCAACAGGTAAGGCAAGGACCAAAGTTAGGAATATGTTGTATGAAAGTTATTTCAGATATTTTATTACTAATCTTCAGAAAAAGAACTAGACAAGACTTTAAAATGTTGAAATATAAAGAGGGAAGGTGGATTTGACTTAAATCTCTTGTCAAAGACATTTTTTTTTTTTTCCCCAGTAAGTAATACTGGGCATTGGATCCAGTGGTGCTCTACCCCTGAGTCATAACCCCAGCTCTTCTTAAAACTTTTAGAGACAGGGTCTTGCTAAGTAAGTCACACAGGCTGGCCTCAAACTTGTAATCCTCCTGTCTCAGCTTCCTGAGTCTTGGGTTACAGTTGTGTGCCAACACATTCAGTTAAGACCAATTGGTTTTATTGTATTTTATATAAAGTATATTTAGAGTTGTTTTACTATGGACTTCTCAAAACCTAGAGCAGTAGATTTCATGTAGGAGAATTCTACCTACATGAAATGGAGGTAGAATTTCATGGAGAACAGTGATTTAGAATATTTTCTAATTTGTAACATCAGAAAGATGTGATTATTTGACTTTTGTGCTAACTTGAGACATAGACTAATGGTTTCAAGAGGTGAATCATCTTCATTTCAACAGATTTATCCTGGCTATATTGGAAATTTATTTATTTATTTGTTTTGTGGTACTGGGTCTTGAACTCAGGTGTACTCTACCATTGAGCCCTTTTTGTTTTTAATTTTGAGACAGGTTCTTGCTAAGTTGCCAAGGCTGGCTTTGAATTTGTCATCCTTCTGTCTCAACTTTCTGAGTCTCTGGGATTATAGGAGTGCCATTCTGTCTAGCTTAAATTTTTTTTCCTTTAAAAAATTTTTTTTAAAGTTGTTGATTGACCTTTATTTTATTTATATGCAGTGCTGAGAATTGAACCCAGCACCTCACACATGCCAGCAGCAAGTGTGCTACCACTGAGCCACAGCTGCAGGCCCCCCTGCCCCCCGCCCGCTTTTTTAAAAATTTTTTTGAGATGGTCTTACTGAGTGTTGAGGCTGGCTTCAAACACAAAATTCTCCTATCTGGTCCTTTGTGTCCTTGTGTTTGGTCTCCAGTACTGAAAAAGACAAAAAAAACCAAGCATACACAACAGGATCCTTCTTGTGCTTTGTGGAATTAAAGCAGAAAAACCAGTTAGGAGCTGTTATAGAAATGTACATGAGAAGTGATAGTGGCTTGAGCCAATGAGGTGGCAGTGTTGGTAGTGAGAGAAAGTTTGATTCTGGATGTCTGTTGATTGTAAAGCAAATGATATTTGCTCTTGCATTGGATGTCAAGTTTTAGAGAAAGATGTTAACATTAACTGCATAGTTGTTGGCTTGATTGAGAGTAGAAGAATGGAGTTGCCATTTATTGAGATGGACAATGGAACATTTTTCTTTTTTTCTTTTTTTTTTTTTTTGCTTTTTAAGGGGATATTGACAATCAAGAATTTGGTTTTAAGGGCTGGGGATGTAGTTCAATGGAACAGTGCCTGCCTGGCATGTGCTAAACCCTGGGTGCAATTCCCAGCACTACCAAAAATAAATAAATAAATAGATAAATTTGCTTTTAGATTTGTTAAGTTTCTCATTCTTTCTGTATTAGTTTTCTATGCCGCAGAACAAATTACCACAAACTTAGGGGCATAAAACAATACACATTTATTAGCTCACAGTTTCTGTAAGATCAGACATATCTTAGCTGGTTCTCTTTTTTGAGATCTCAACAAGCTGTGGTCAAGGTGTTGACTAGGGCTGGGTTCTTGCCTGGAGATTAGACTAGAGAAGTCTCCACTTCCAAGCTCAGTTAGGTTGTTGGCAGAATTCATTTCATTGTGGCTGTAGGATTGAAAGCTTCAGTTTTCTGTTGGCTGTTGGCTGGATGCTATTTTTGTCTCCTAGAGGGTGCCTCTAATTCCCTGTCATGTGATTCTTTGCATAGGCAGGTCACAACATGGCTTCCTGCTTCTTTTAAGTCCAGTAAGAGAGTCTTGTGTAATATATACCATAATCAAGGAAATGATATCCCATTTCTTTGCCATAAAATGTAACATAATCATGGGAATAATATTGCATCAACTTTGCTATATTCTGTTGGTTAGAAGCAAATCACAAGTCCTCCCTCACTCAAGGGGGGAGGATGGAATGTAGCTCAATGGCAAAGTGTTTGCCTTGCATACACAAAGCCCTTGGTTTGATCTCTAGTTACTCCTTCTGTCCCCAGAAAAAAAGACACACTCAAAGAGAGAGTAGACATGAACACCAGGAGATTCGGATCACAAGGACCACCTTAAAAATCTGTCTACCAGACAATCGAAGTAGATTTATCTTGTAGGATTGGATATACTTGAGTCTGGATTTTGGGGGAGAGGTCTACATTTAGGAATTATGGACATATAGATAATACTGAAAAAATGGGGGCTCTAGCTGCTGCCTAGGATGTAGAAACCTGGATAGAGTGTTGCTTATATCTAAAACAAAAATTATGTAATCTGCAGACTCATAAATTTTCTTGAACCCACAGAGATAGGATATGTGCATGGCATTTGTGGCAGAGTACAAAACAAGGTCAGACTGTCTTACCAGGGAGAAAGAATAATTTAGCTAAATTTTTAATGAATTATAAAGTTCAGGAATAGGCTAGCATGAGAATCCAGAATCCTCCTGTCTTAGCCTCCAGTGCACCAGTTTACCAATCTCTTTGTTAGTGGTTCTCCTACCACTTGACATAGTCAGTCTCTTAAAATTTGGAGCTGCAGACATAAGAGAGTTCTTATCTTTTTATAGGCTTTTCTTGAAGGATCGCTAACATTTGCTCATAAGAAAGCTGGGGCAAGGAGTGAGGGTGGGGTGAGCAAAAGAAACCAGAGAAAACCTGTCTGTATGGGTCCAGGCCTGCTTGGACCATTTTTTTCCCATGGAAAAAGAGTTTAAAACCACTGGAGAAAGGGATCAAACCCTTTTTTCCATGGTGTCTGGAAGAAATAGAAAAGAAAAAGAAAACCGACAACCCTGAGGAAAGGCAGGAAACTGTCCTGGTTTCACATCATTAGTGTTTCTGCCACTAGGAGAAAGCCCATCTACTAAAACCTAAGAATATAGGTCCTACCTGAAACTGAGACAGGGACAGGATAATAGAGAACCTTCCCTCTTCTGCTTTCAAGTGTAGCAACAACAGTCTATCCCTGGGGGAGGAACAGGAGTATGGAGAAAGCCTCTTGGGGGGAACTGCAGAGAGACAGCCTGAAGCTGAGGATGGAGCAAGAGCAGTGAGAAAAACCCTCTGGCAAACCAGCCCCCCCCACCACCCCAAGCAGGCCCCACTAGAGATTTAAGCTGGTTAGTACACTTTAGCTAACCATAATAAACTCAGCCCAGTTTGATTTCTGAATAGATTGGCTCAATCCTCCCCCACTTAACACACACTTATGATATAGAAGAAGAATCATATCCATTTCTAAGCATAAATACTATTTGCCTCAGTCTGAACTATCTTACACATGATGTCCATCATTCAGGCAGAAATTATGAATTGAAACATCAAAAAAGCAAGAAAAAAATGACTTTCCAGAAATCAAAATAATTAACAGAACCAGATTCAAGATGATCTAGCTGTTGGAAGTATCAGATAATGAATTTAAAATAATATGTTATTCTAGTGTTCATCATGCCTGAATGGATGGGGAACACCAGCAGAGGGATGGAAACTATATGAAAAATCAAATAGAAATAAAAATGGTAACATAGATGAAATGGTGTTTGAATTTATTAGTAGAGTTTCCTCAAACACAACTGAGGAAATAATCTGTGAATTTGAGCCAGTAGAAATTGTCAAAATGGAAAACAGAACATAACATTCAAGAACTGGGGGACTACATCTGTTTAATGTAAGGGTAATCAGTCATGGAACTAGATGAGATTACTGAAAGGTGGATATCATTGATTTGAATTGCCAACTTGATTGGATTAAGAGATGCCAATGATTAAGAGGTTTCTGGGTGTGTCATCGAGGGTGTGTGCAGGAATGATTGGCATGTGGTATAGCCTACGGGAGACCCTCCCTAAGCATGGGCGGCACCATCCAATAGGATGATGGCTTGGGTGGAATAAAAGTTGGAAGAACAAGGAAGCAGCAGCTTTAACGGTTCTTGATTGCTTCTGTGATCATCTGAGGATATTGGACTGTCACTTCTTCACTCTTCTAAAGTGGACTCTGCCAGTGATTCTTTAGGGAGTTTCCAGAAGCCTTTGGTTTTGGACTAGGGTAGCACCATTGATGCCTCTTGTTCTGGAGCTTCAGCCTCTTGGACTACGCAGCTCCTGGTTCTTCCAGCTCTCCAGCCTGTAGACGGCCATTGTGGACTATCCAGCTTCTGGTCATATAGCCAACCTACTAAATCCTCTTTTTGTAATTATACTTCCTATTGATTCTGTTCCTCTAGAGAACCCTAATACAATCAACAAAGAATGAAGTTAGTGGTTTTGGGCCTCTTTTGTTTCAACTATCATTCTGTAAATAGTTGTTCTTTTTGCCATCTACTTAGTGCCTTGTCTTTTGCATTTTGTGCTGTTTAAAATGGCTCCAAACATAGTACTTTAGTGCTCTCTTGTGTTCCCAAGTGCAAGAAGGCTGTAATGGAGAAAACAGCATGTTGTTTTTGATAAATTTCATTTAGGCATGAATTATAGTGCTATTGACTGTGAGCTCAATGTTAATGGCTTAACAACATGTTTTAAATAAGGTATGTTTAAGTAGAAATACACATAAAACAAGGTTATATATTGATCAGTTGTTGAGAATGTTGTGCCCAGGGACCTGCAGAAAGTTTCCCCTAAGGAGCAGTGGTTCTTTTTTTTTTTTTTTTCAGTTGTAGTTGGACACAACACCTTTATTTCATTTTATTTTTTTTGTGGTGCTGAGGATTGAACCCATGGTCTTGCATGTGCAAGGCACAACTCCAGCCCCAGTGGTTCATTTTTTGATAATTCATTGTATGTGGCAATTTTATACCTAACACAGATAACAGTAATCAGGTATATTTCACAACATGGCTCCTTGAAAGCCTTGACAAGAATTATTTCAGTAAAAATCTAATTTGATCCAAGAGAGCGTGGAAAGACAGGAGAAAATGAGTATGCAAACTCATTTGACAACTCCTGAATGAATAAACAACTTCTTTGAGGAGTATTTTCAAAAGTGATCTAGGAAATAAGTTTTCTGAGGGGGTTGTAGATTGTGAAAGTTTTATTTTATTTTTGTGTGTGGGTGGTATTGTGGATTGAATCCAGGGGCACTCTACCACTGAGCTAAACGCCTAGTTATTTTTATCTTTTATCTTGAGACAGAGTCTTGCTAAATTGGGGAGGGTCTTGCTTCAGACTTTGATCCCTCTGCCTCAGCAGCTTGAGTTGCTGGAATTATAGGTATATATGCGAGATACCTGACTCTTTTGATTATTTTTAAAGATGGGATAAATTAACAGCTTTTTATGTACCAAAGGGAATGATGCATAGAGGGAGAAAATTTGATAATACAGGAAAAAAAAGAACAATTCTGGTATGGTGTCCTTATGAAAGGAGATGAAAATTAATCTACAGGTGGAGAAATTAACTTGATATGAGCACAAGTATATTATGTATAATTAGAAAGTAAATACATGTTAGGTGGGTAGACTGGGAATGAGATACTCTGAAAGTTTTCTTATAAATTTGGGGGATTTGTGTGTGAAATGCTTTCAGAATATAGGAAGAATAGTTTATAAAATAGTCTACTAAGAAGAGATTTCAGGAGCTGAGGATGTGGCTCAAGCGGTAGAGCGCTCGCTGGCATGCGTGCGGCCCGGGTTCGATCCTCAGCACCACATACAAACAAAGATGTTGTGTCCGCCGAAAACTAAAATAAATAAATTATTAAAAATTCTCTCTCTCTCTCTAAAAAAAAAGAAAGAAAGAAATTTCAGTAGAGTAGGGATGTATGGTAGGATTGCTGGAGACCATTAATGATCTACTGGAGAAGTTTAGTTCTGTGTTTTCCTCTGGTCATATTCAAGTGTACTTGAACTATATATATGTAGTGGAACAAGAAAAAAGAACATTGAGAGTGCATGAGTGCATGCAGTATAGTGATTATCATGCTGGACATGACATTTAAGTTGTTTAAAGAAGGAAATCGGGCCTCAGTGGGATCAAGAGCCAAGAAAAGAGAGTAGGATCAATAGATGGTAGTTTCTTTTGTTGTATGCAAATTGTTGAGTCCATGTACCAGAGGTAGAAAGTTTTGGAAGGAGGTAGTGCTTAGAATGAGGGATATTTGAATTTGACATTGTGGAGGGGTGCATATATTTGTAATGAAAGGGTTTAAGTCAGTGTTTCTCAACTGGGGGTGGAGGGGTAGTACTGCTTCCCTACTGAGATGTCTGGAAATTGTGTGTGTGTGTGTGGGGGGTAGGGTTGCTCCTGTTACTTAATGGGCAGAGCCAGATGCTAAATGTCTTGCATTGAACAGGATATTCCTGCACATGAAAGAATTGTCCTTTCCAAAATGTCTGATGAGAAACTCTTTAGGATATGACAAGAGGAATATGTGCCTGAGGAGAGTGAAAGACAGGGCTTTGAAATAGAGGTTGTCAAAAACAGAAGCCTGGTCAGTTACAGTGGTATGTACTTGTAGTCCCAGCTACTTTGGAGGCTGAGGTGGGAGAATCACTTGAGTTCAGGAATTTGAGGCCAGCCTGGGCAACATAGTAAGACCTCATTTGAAATGAAATGAAACAAAATATAACTGAAAATAAATGAAATATAAGCCAGGAGCCTGTAATCCTAGCAGTTTGGGAGGCTAAGGAAGGAGGACCACAAATTTAAAGCCAGCCTCAGCAACTTAAGTGAGGCCCTAAAAGCAACTTAGCAAGACCTTGTCTCAAAATTAAAAAAAAAAAAAAAAAAGAAAATTAAGGGTTGGATGTGGCTCAGTGGTTACATGTCTCTGTGTCTGTGTTTAGTCATTGGTACCTAAAAGAAAAAAAAGAAAGAAAGATAATGGATGAAATGCCTGGGCATGGAAATATTAGATGTTGCATATTAAAATCACCAGATTATATGAGGAGTAGATGGGAGAGAACAGATTGAGCCAGATTCTGAAGTCTTAAATAAAGGGACATGACTGTCCCAAGAATGAGCAGTCTGTGTTACAAACTTCAAAATTGGGAGTTATGGGGAAGGACATGGAAGTATGAAGGGAAACACTCACCTATGTGTAGGCTCATGAGGAGTGCAGTGAAGAACTGTAGTAGAGGTGGTGGTCCTTAGACAGTAGCCAACTTTCAGTTATGGCAAGAAGAATTTCACTGAATTATAAAGTATATGTAGATTGAGAGACCGGGTTGTTTATTAGAAAGAACAGTGGATATAGTCAGAAGACCTGGTTTGAGTCCTGGCTTTGTCACTTACTTTATTGACTCTGGTACATTGTATAATTTACTTCTTAAAGAAGACCAGATATTCATCATCTGGAAATTAAAAGTGTTAGAATTGGTGATCTCTAAGGTCTTTTCCAGCTCATAACTGTCAGTGATACTCATATTATGGAGAAATTTGTATACTTTAACCAGGTGCATAGGAAATAAAGGATAACAATGATTACAGCTAAATTTACCTGCCAGGTGAATTTCCTAAGCATTTATACATTTTAAGGCCTTACCTTGTATCAACCTGTTCTTTTATAATCTTCTGTCTTAGAGGTCACACAAGTAGTAAGTAGAGACATGATTTGCCTCCCAGCCCTTTCTTTGATGTCTTTCACAGTTTGGGTTTCCAGAAAGCAGACTAGAAAAGGGAGATTAGCACGCAAAGGGTTTATTAGGGGTACATCTGGGGAATTACCACCTGTAGATGGGAAGGAAGAGAAGGAATAGGATTGGGCAGAGGGAGAAGTTGAATTGTGATTCAGTCTCAACAGAGGCCTCAAATGACCCCATAGGAAGCTCTGAAGCCAAGTAGCTCTTCCGGATTGAGGTGTGGGGCCAACAGGTCGTTTATATTTCCTGTCAGCACCAGTCATTGGATTCTGACTGCACCAGGAAGGATAGTATACAACCTTGACTCTCCTTGAGGCAGATCTGAAGAGGGCCAGTAATTAACACTTTCTGCCAACAACTCTTCTAGGCAAGTGTTCTACCACTGAGCTAGATAGACAAGTAGCCCTCAGTATTGTATAGTTTTTTGGAGCAGTTGTAAATAATATTGTGTTGATTTTAAATTTTACTTGTTCATTTTTTGAGTATAGAAAAGCATTTGATTTTGTAAATTGATCTTGATCTTGTACCCTGCAACGTTACTGAACTCACTTGTTCTAGGAAGGATGAGTTGTGGGTTTTTGTTGTTGTTATTGTGTTTAAGATGTGGGGATTTTCTTTGTAGATAACCATGTAATCTGCAAATAGGGATGTTTTTGTTTATTCTTTTCCAATCTTTTCTTGCCTTTATTGCACTGACTGGAACTTAACCACATTGAGTAGTGAGAATGGACATCTTGCTTTATTCCTGAACCTAGAGGGAAAAACATTCTTTCACCATTATGTGTGATGTCAGCTAGGTTTTTACTTTCTGAGTTTAAGGAAATTCCCAACTATTCCTAGTTTTCTGAGTTTTTGTTATGTTTTTTAAATGGAATGATGTTAGAGCTGGGCATGTGATACATACCTGTAGTCCCAGCTGCTGTGATGAGAGGATTACTTGAGCTCATAGTTGGAGACCAGCATGGGCAACATACCAAGACCCTGTCTTGAAAAGAAATTTTGTACTTCTCAAATATCTTCTGTACAGCAGTTGGTACGATCTTACGAATTTTTTTTCTTCTTTGGCCTGTTGATGTGTTGTGTTACATAGATATTCAAATGTTGAACCAGCCTTGCATACCTGGAATAAACTGCACTTGGACATGGCATTTTTTTATATGTTACTGGATTTAATTTGCTAATATTTTGTTGATAATTTTTATATTGAAATTTATAAGAGCTCTTGGTCTGTGGTTTTCTTTTTCTTTTTGGTAATTTATTTGTCCTCATAATATTAGTTGGAAAATATTCCCTTGTCATTTCTGGAAGAGACTGTATAAAATGTGTACTAATTCTACTCTAATGGGAGAAGAGACCCCGCTATGTATGTTTTTAGAGTTTTCTCTTTGTTTTCAAGCTTTATTTTAAGGTATTGTATTCAAAGATATTAGATTTCTCATTTGAGAGGGCACTGACTTGGAACAAGATGAATTGTCAACAGTGAGAATGGGCCTACCAAAACTTAAAAGTAGAAAACATTTTTCCCTGGCCATATGGGCTTAAGGAAGCTAGGAAAGTTAGCATATCATCTGTGTCCCCCCTTTATTGTTACTTGGCGCAAAATGAAAAATTGGTCAAATATTCTAAGTGAGGAAATATAAATCTTTACATCTTTCAAGTTGGAAAAATCAAAAAGACACCCAGAAGAAATTGTAGAAATTCGCTTAGTGTCTTTAATTGGGAAATAATTAGTTAATTCACTGAACAGTTGTTTGTTTAGCATTCAGGCATGCCTGTTGACCAATACCAAGTGAGAGGCTGTAAAAATGTCCTGATTGGCAACTGGAGGCATAAGAGATCATGGAAAGAACACTGGGCTCTGGAGCCAGACAGGACCAGCAACTTAGTGTTTACTGTTGTTGGTCTTATTCAAAAACTTATGGAAATTTTCAAACCTATTGCGAATCAGAGATAATTAGGTTGAACCATCATGGTTTTCATCACCCAGTTTCATTAATTAGTATTTTATGTTGTCTCGTGCCCCCACCTCTGCTGACTGAATGATGTTAAAGTAAATCCTAGATTTATCATTTTGGCTTTCAGTATGTCCATATGTATCTCTAAAATATAAAGATTCCTTTAAAGAACATAACCATAACTTTATTATTACACTTAAAACAAAAAGATAATATGAAATATCCATACAGTTCTTAAATTTTCCTGTTATTTATAGGACACATAGGCACACACATTTTTTAACACCTTGTTGAAACAGGAACCAAATAAGAAACATAGATGTAGGCTTTTTTTCCCTACCTTCCCATTTTGCTTTTATTATTCTTTTAATTGTTGTTATAATAACTGTGAAAAATATAGTATTAGTTCTTTTTACAAAGGAAGAAACTTAGGCCTTGAAAGGGTAAGTGATTTGATAAGCATCACAAAGGCTAGTGAGTGCCCTTTAGCTGAGAAATAGTCCTGCCTTATCAGGCTCCAAATCCTGTATGCTTTTCTGGAACTTGGATTCAAACACTGGCTGAAGAGGCTTCTTTCTTATGACACTCTACGAATTCCCTGCCCTACCTCCTTACCCAAGCATTTACCATCTTAGGTTACCCAATTAGCTAGCTAGGGAGAACATTTTAAGTTCAGGTATCCCACGGAGTATGAGAAAAATCGGGGCTTTAGTCCAATTTAGAAGCCCTTAAAAAATCCTTTCCTTTCTAATTTTTCATTTATCTCTTCAAAGGAGTTCTGGGGTCATCCACAATATGCCAGTAGGTTCCACAGCTCTCGAGATGAAAAATTTCACTTTTCACTGTGGTAGCCATTAGCCACAATTTGGTATCTTAGTTTTAATTTAAATTAGTTAAGCTTACATACATTTAAAAATCACACCAGCCACATTTCAAGCACTTGAGATTAACATGGATAAGTAATCATACTGTATTTGTTATTTTTTGGTACTGGGGGTTGAACCCAGGGCACTTAACCACTGAACCACATCCCCAGCCTTTTTTTTTTTTTTTTTTGTGGTGGTGCTGGGGATTGAACTCAGGGCCTTGTGAATGCTAGGCAGGCACTCGACCAACTGAGCTATATCCCCAGCCCCACCAGCCTTTTTTTACATTTTATTTACAGATAGGGCCTTACTAAGTTGCTGAGGCTGGTTTTGAACTCACAATCCTCCTACCTCAGCCTCCAGAACCATTGGGATTACAGGCATGTGCCACCATGGCTGGCTACTCATTTTATTGAATTAGTTAATTTATTTTTAAATTTTATTTTATTTTGAGATGGGTCTCACTAAGTTGCTTATGGCCTTGCTAAATTGTTAAAGTTGGCCTTGAACTTGTGATCCTCCTGCCTGAGCCTTCCAAGTCACTGGGATTACAGGAGTGCACTACATTGCCTGGCTCAGGACCAGCTTTTTTTCTTCCCTTGAGAAGTCTCTTAGAATTTAAATTTTCTTCCCTTGAGAAGTCTCTTAGAATTTAAATTATCAGGTTTCAGAGTGAGTGTCAGAAGGGTGTGGACTTTGAGACCCTGAGTAATGAGCATTTTGTGAGGTTGGAAGAATAGTGTTAATAAGGGTGAGGGACAGCTACTAGCAAAATCTGGTCCCTATTTTTTTTCCTTTCCATTTGCCAGACCACAGTGTACTAAATCACATGGATTGCCAGAAACTCTTTAGAAATGATGGCTCTTAATCTTTTAGAACTGAAAATTAATCTCATTATAAGCTTTCTCCATTAATTGAATGGCTTCACTTGGGGTCTGAAAGGTAAGGGGATCTTTTATTATTTTTGAGTATAATGATAACTGTACCAGCTGGACTTAAGATTTGTGAATTGTTTATTCTTATTCTTTGGGTCTATTGCCAAAAAGAAAAAAGGCATATTTCAGGAAGGTGACTTTCAGAGCCTAGAATTTTAGTTTGTGATTTAAGCCAAGACGAATGTATGAACTAGAGTTGTCCAAGGAAGATAAGATCTCTGTTAACCAAAAATATCTGAGAAATCTTCTTGAAAGAGGTAGAGGTGCTGGGCACAGTGCGCATCCCTGTAATCTCAGTGGCTTGGGAGGCTGAGGCAGGAGGACCACAAGTTCAAAGCCAGCCACAGCAACTTTAATGAGGCCCTGAGCAACTTAACAAGACCCTGTCTGTAAATAAAATACAAAAAAAGGGCTGGGGAGCTGGCTCAGTGGTTAAATTTTCCTGAGTTCAATCCTGGGTACAAAAAAAGAAAAAGAGGTAGAACTGTTTACTGGCAACCTGGGGCAAAGTGTTCCCAACAGACCAGGATCAGCCATCTGTCCTAATATACCAATCAAAGACACTAGCAACAATGAAGGACAGAAAAGGAACTTTTTTTTTTTTTTTTTTTGAGATTTTTGTGATTTTTTTATACCTTTATTTTATTTATTTATTTTTATGTGGTGCTGAGGATAGAACTCAGCACCTTGCTCATGCTAGGCGAGCACTGTACTGCTGAGCTACAACCCCAGCCTCAAGAAAAGGAACTTTTAATGGGTGTGGCCATACAAAGAATACCTCATGGGGGTTTAGTGACCAAAGATCTGTCATCAAGGGATTGACAGAAACTTGGAGATTTTATAAAAAATGGAATTAAAGGCTAGGGTTGGTATCTTGCGTAGCTGGAGCGTTTGTATAGGTGACAGAGGAAATCATATTGGTCAAGCCATGGTTTGGTTGAACCTTTTCTCAGACTGTTTCTGTGAAGCTCTGGGAAGGTCATCACTCTGAGAGGGGTAATTTGGTTCCCATAGTGAGATGATTGCTCCTGCATGGGGCCAGCCTTGGTTCCTTTACTGGGATATTTAGTGGGGCAAGCTTATCGTGGGGTGATCTGTTCTGCAAGGCTTGCTGTTGCCTGGGGATAGTTTTGGTTCCTTGATCTAAAGAAACTTGTTTAGCAGGCCTATACTTCCTAGAATACAATGTAACTGCAGAAGAAAGTGGCTTAGAGGAAGAAAAAGAAAAGGCTTAGAAAGGTAAATGGAGTCAGAAAGGAACAAAGTAGAGTTGACTTTGTCAGTAACTGAATTCTCTTTCAAGGTGACTTGAAGAGACTGCCCAAAGTTGGAATTTCAGTCACTTAGACTCTTGATTTCTTAGTTGGTTTTCAACCACATCTCCTCAGAATAATGTGTTCTAAAGATCCCTCCATGTTTTTGCAATCAGTTCCTCTGTCTGAAATACCTTTCTAGTCCTCCTGCCCCTCTTTACCTACATACATACCCTCTGGGAATTTTGTCCTTTAAGACCCAGCTGAAGCTAATATTCTTTCTTTGCTTCCACAATTCAGTACTTTCTATGTTTCCTGTATTACAACTCTTATTCTACTTGTTAAAATTAGTTTGTACACTCACCTCCTAGTTTAGTCTCTGGTGTACAGGCTGTGCCTGATGCTTGGTAATACATGTGATTAAATGTGTTTTCCAGTATTAAGATCTCAGCTGTCTTATGTGCATAGGTACAATATATTTTTTGTTAATTGAATTTTTATTTGTTCTTAGATGTCATTAAGAGGATCTGCGCCAGTGACAATTGTACCTCTTCCTGGAAAGCAAGTACAGGTTCAGGGGGTCATCCAGGCAGCTCATTCTTCTGTAATTCACCCACCACATGTGCAAACGGTACAGAAATTTGAAGACAGTGGTCAAACACGGGGACCTTTATACCCTAAGTCTTCAGACATTCAAGTTGCTGAAGTTACAATATGACAAACCAATACAACAGAGTTTTCTTAGAAATTAGATAGACTGCATACCAAATGAGGCAAATAGAAATGTTTTAGAATTTCTAATTCCATGTATATATTTCCCAATAAAATTAGAAAACAATTTTGGGGGGAAGTTTTATTACTTAAGAATTTAAGGAAATGAAACTTTCTTAAAACCCTTTTATCCAAGTGGTATCCTCATGAAAGAACTTGTGAAGCAAAGGTAATGATTTGAGAGCCTTAGCAAAGTAAAAAAAAA